ATAACCGAGCCGCCACACAGCCTTGTAGGTTCAAACAGCAACCTTTATTCCCGAACTCTCACCGGCCCTCTACACACACTTTCGGGGTACACACTGCCTCCACGTGCTCTGCCTGCCAATTCTCTCAAACCCCTCCCCCACCCACCCAGAACTCCAAAGTAGCGGGCGCCTGAGGCAGCAGGATCTGCCCTAATCCTGGAGCCACCCTATTCCCAGCAGGGTCACCTTTCAACCATTCCCTCTGGCCAAAATGCCAGGCATCTTTCTGATTAAACTGTGGCTCTCAACAATATCCCTGTTATCACTATCTAAAAAATTCAATAAAAACATTTTAAAAAAAGAATTATCATATCAAAATAATATCATCAGGGAGCTATGAATTTACAATTTATCTGTTTTATCACTAGGTTTAATAGCTGGGTCAGTACTCTGCAAATCTAAAAGATATCATATATATCAAGAACATAACATACATAGGTTTTTATGTTTGATATTCCAATCTGTTTAAATACAAAAATCATCACCTTTTGTCTTTATTTTCTACAGAGATTTTTTTTTTCCTTGATAGAAATACCTCTTTCTTTTTCTGAAGCTTCCTTGTAACTGCAGAATGGCAAGAACTACATCATTTAATGAATATTCATATCAAAGAGATATTTATAACATTTCTCATGCCATTGCTCCTTTACCCTTCCTCTATACACACTTTGAGAATTACAATGAATTCTTTAAATCCTGAAGGAAAAATCCTCAATCTTTATACTAGGCTTTAAATACAATTTTAAACAACAGATCTTCAAATTAAAGAGAAATTAGAAATAGTTTTTTGTGGAAAGAAATCATATCAGCAAATCCAAGATAAATAATAAATATAAGAGGTGAGATTTCAGTGGTAAATAATTAACTAGTAAGAAAATATAATAATAATAATAGATAACATTAACACAAAAATATAAGCTTTTGAGGGGAAGAAATTTTTCCTTTTGTTATGATCCATGTGTTCAGAGTACTATTTAGTGCAGAATAGAAGTCCAGAATGTTTGTTGGGGAAATGAATGATTGAACAAATGAATGAATGTATGGGATGCAGAAAATTGATCTTGCTTCTCCTGGTCATATAAAAATGCATCTATGATTCCTTGATTCCAGAATTAACAACCTGAAATGTGAAAATGGTTCAGACTGAAGAACAGTTAATATAAAAGTGAAAAATGCAAAATCTTGGTGTTCAAATGTCCACATATTAGAATGGGAAAGCCTAGCATGTAAATAGCGCTGATACTAGGATAAGTGAAAAAAAGGTTGTAATAAGTATTCTGAGGCCACATACTGGTTGAAAAAGCTACAAATAAACTACGTGTGAGCATTACTAAAATGAAGAGGGAGAGGACAAAACAGTACAGGTACCCAAGGCAAAGGCACAAAAATGTCAAATAGCACAGTATTTTTGAAAGAGAGTAAACTGTGGATTTTAAGTTTTTAACCAAAACGTGCAAGCCAGGTGCAGTGGCCCACTCCTATAATCCCAATGACTCAGGAGGCTGAGGCAGGAAAAACACAAGTTCAAAGCAAGCCTCAGCTTCTTAGCAAACCCTAAGCAATTTAGCGAGATCCTGTCTCAAAATAAAAAATAAAAATTGTTTGGGAATGTGGCTGAGTTATTGAGTGCCCCTGGGTTCAATCCCTGGTTCCAAAAAAAACCAAAAAAAAGTGCAGCAAGAAATACACATATATTTAACTGAAACAAATTTTATGAATCATACCTACCTTTTCTCATTTGATATATTTGATATTTTCTAATCTATTTCATCCTCTTTATTGCTGGTCAAGGTGTACTGAATCAATTTCAAGACCCATTTGTCGGAAAAACATTGATTTGAACATTGAATAGATAATGTTGAATAGACCACTGAAGTGGAAGCCAGCTGCCAGAATAGGTACAACTCTTCTCCCATCCAGGTGATTTGTTGCTGAACTGTAGTACTTACAGAACTCTGCTGTAAGTCACTCTCCTACTTAAAACTACACAGTGTGGTAGAACAAATCAGTAGTGAACTTCTCTATATCAGTCCAAAGTATGAGACAGTAGACTACCATGGGGCTTTTCTTCTCTGTTCTAGATATGTTTTGACTGTAACAATTATTTTATCTAGCAATATTTTTGGAAAATGAAACTATTCTCATTTCTAGGATAATCCTAAATTCAATCTATACTAAAATTTATCTCACTTTACTAGAATCACATTGCATTCTTAAAAAAAAAAAAGCAGGACTCTAATCATTCCTCCACGAATAATGATTTATGTATCCACAATAGTCTTCATTCAAGACTATTTATAGGTATTTTCTAGATACCAGGCCTTCTTCTAGTGCAAGAGTGGGGAAATAGGAATCCAAGTCTCCTAACCTATAAAGATCAAGTTAATTAAACACACACAGATAATAACAAAAGCTATGAAGCTATGCAGGAAAAAAAATAGTGTTTTGGATTAGAAAGTATTAATTACTTCAAGTAACCAGGGAAGGCTGTTATTAGGAGACAACATTTTAAATGATACCTGAAGGAAGAGAAAAGCCCATTAAAGTAAAATTCTAAAGGGAGAAAAACAATTTTCCAAGCACTGGGCATGCCTAAGTGAAGACCTCATGCAGGAAAGATATGTGGTATGAGAAGACTACTGTATCTCAATCACAGTGTGAAGTTGGGAACACTGATATAAGATGAAATAGGAAGTTACTTGAAATTACTGGATTGTTCTATTAACTGGAAGGGAAAGTTATTGGAGAATGAGGTGATCCAATATGGGTTTTTAAAACCTCATGCTTGCCGCTATGTGGAGTAGGGATTAGACAGGGATTAGAGGCTCAAAGTTCCCTTTGGGAGATTGATCTCCAGGGAAGAACCAATGGAACAATGGAATTAGGTGTTGGCTGGAGACAAAAGCAGTTGAACTTGAGATGTATTGGGGAGTTAGAACAAACAAAGCAAATTTAGAATTTTCTTAAGAGGCCACAAGGAAGTTAATAAAAAATTGGTGGATAAGTGAACACATAAAAAGGGAAAGATAACACTGAAGGGGAAAAATTATACTCTGCAGAAAGAATGGGAGACATATACACAAAGTAACAGGGTAAAAATAATCTTTCACCTCTATAATTCAAATCCCATGTTCCTCTCTGGGCCTCTAATTTCTTAAAATAAGGTATTTAACCAGGGTAGAAAGAAAAAGAACTAGCTTTAAGAGTTTTGGGTCTTAAATGGATGAGGCCAGGCCACCAAAAAACCTTAACTTACCCAATGAAAACAATGAAGGAAATTTTAACTAAGATCATTTGTGGAGTATCTGATTTAATTGGTCTAAGGTGGACACAGGCATAAATTGTTTTGTGGTAATGGGGATTGAGCCCAAGGACTGCCTCATACTAGACAAATGTTCTACCATGGAACTACACCCGCCAGCTCTTTTTAAAAGTTTTTATTTTATTTTGAGACAGGGTCTCCCTAAATTGATGGCCTTGAACTTGGAATCTTCCAACTTCCAGAGTAGATGGGATTACAGGCCTGCACACTAGGCCAGCCAGCCATAGGTGTTTTTTTTTTTTTTTAAGCTCCTTAGAGAATTAATATTATTATTACACAATATCTTTGTTTATTTAGTTTTATGTGGTGCTTGGGATGGAATCCAGTGCCTCACATGTGCTAGGCAAGCCCCTCCTTAGAGAATTATAATGAGCAGCCAGGATTGAAAGTCCTGAATTAGAAGTATAGCTGAGGATGCCACATCAATAACACTATTCTGTTAATGAAAGAACAATAGAATGGGATGATGGAATTCTTCCCTCAAAGAACAGTATATACCCATCAGTTAAACAATTATATATTTTGAGACCACAAGAAAATAAAAGCTCATTTCCTTCTGTGTAATTATTTTTTTTTTTAAGCTGGGAGATAATGTTTTTGTCATCTTATTAAAAACACGGCCACTCATATACTTAAAATATATTTTATTCCCATTATGAGCAACAGTGAAAGAAGAGATTCACATCTGAAGGCTGACTGAAAGCAAAATAGAAGAGGAATAAATGTGTGCAATCTTGTTTATACAAGGAGACACAGGGGGAACGAAGTGCAGTGGAAAAGTGAGCAAAAGAAGTGAAGGATTTTGATATCTGGGATATATATATATATATATATATATATATATATATAAATAAAATTGGTCACAGAATACACTGGCAATGGGTTTGACCATATTATACCACTGTTGCTTTTTAACTGTTTAGTGGGCATCCTTCTGGGATTTAACCCCCAAATTAGCCACAGGATTACCAGAGCAGTTCCGTGAGCCAAGCAACTATTCTCCTGAAATAGAAGAGAGATCAGAAATACAACCCTTCTTCAGGTGGAAGGAAGATGCATGCCTTTGTTGCTCGGGGATGGTTGAAAAATTGAAAGCCATAGGGTTCCATAACTAGACCTAAACCATTCAGTAGATTAGTGGTCGCATTAGAATTACAAAGGTTTTACAAAGTTAGGTTTTCACTAAGTCTATTTACACCTTCTATGAAGCCTAACTCCACTGAAAACCAAAGAGAGGAATGCGTAAGACAATTTCTAACTTCTACGCTGGAGAACTTGAAGAATCACAGCTCTCTAGGGAAAGTGGTAGGACGCTAGGACGCCGGCAGTGCAGCCTTAAATCGGTAGAAGAAGAAGAAAAAAAAAAAAAAACAGTGAATTGAGCATAGAAACAATGGTGAATTTCTAGTCTTAAGTGGGCGTGTCTACCTCGGGAGGGGAGTGAAAGCAAAATAGAACTGAAGGATTAAGAGAAGGAGGGTGAACTCAAATAATCGCAAAACGCGGGTGTGGTGGGTGGGAAAGGCGTTGCCAGGACTTAAAAGCGGCAGAACGATGGGCAGGCGAGCTAGCTCAGGCCAACGCTGGGCGCCCCGCGGGAAGCAGGAAAGCGGGCGGGAACTACAAGTCCCAGAAGCCTCGGGCTCCCAGCCGCGCCGCGCCTCGCAAAGCCCGCCGGGAGCCGGCTGCAGCCGCCAAGATGTCGCAGACTAAGAAGAGAAAGCTTGAGTCGGGGGGCGGCGGCGAAGGAGGGGAGGGAACTGAAGAGGAAGATGGCGGGGAGCAGGAGGTGGCCGTGCCACGACCCCGGAGGACTAAGCGCGAGCGGGACCAGCTGTACTACGAGTGCTACTCGGACGTGTCGGTCCACGAGGAGATGATCGCCGACCGCGTCCGCACCGATGCCTACCGCCTGGGTATCCTGCGGAACTGGGCAGCTCTGCGAGGCAAGACCGTGTTGGACGTGGGTGCAGGCACCGGCATTTTGAGCATCTTCTGTGCCCAGGCCGGGGCCCGGCGCGTGTACGCGGTGGAGGCCAGCGCCATTTGGCAACAGGCCCGGGAGGTAGTGCGGCTCAACGGGCTGGAGGACCGAGTGCATGTCCTGCCAGGTCCAGTGGAGACCGTGGAGTTGCCAGAGCAGGTGGATGCCATCGTGAGCGAGTGGATGGGCTATGGACTTCTGCACGAGTCCATGCTGAGCTCTGTGCTGCACGCGCGGACCAAGTGGCTGAAGGAGGGCGGTATTCTCCTACCGGCTTCCGCTGAGCTCTTCGTAGCCCCCATTAGCGACCAGATGCTGGAGTGGCGCCTAGGCTTTTGGAGCCAGGTGAAGCAGCACTATGGCGTGGACATGAGTTGCCTAGAGAGTTTCGCCACACGCTGCCTCATGAGCCACTCGGAGATCGTGGTGCAGGGTCTGTCCGGCGAGGACGTGCTGGCCCGGCCACAGCGTTTTGCTCAGCTCGAGCTGGCCCGCGCCGGCCTGGAACAGGAGCTGGAGGCCGGGGTGGGCGGGCGCTTCCGCTGCAGCTGTTATGGCTCGGCGCCCATGCATGGTTTTGCCATCTGGTTCCAGGTGACCTTCCCTGGAGGAGATTCGGAGAAACCCCTGGTGCTGTCCACCTCGCCTTTTCATCCGGCCACACACTGGAAGCAGGCACTCCTCTACCTAAACGAGCCGGTACAAGTGGAACAAGACACGGACGTTTCAGGAGAGATCACGCTGCTGCCCTCCCGGGACAACCCTCGTCGCCTGCGCGTTCTGCTGCGCTACAAAGTGGGAGACCAGGAGGAAAAGACCAAAGACTTTGCCATGGAAGACTGAGCATTGCCTTTTCTCCCAGCCCCACCTCCTAAGGCAGCCTGGCCTGTTTGGGAGAGGCATAGGGAGGTCGGAGGAGAATGGGAAATCCCATGTGCAAGTAGGGGACTATCTCTCTTTTCCCTCATGGTTCTTGGGGAGGGAGAGTGACTTCAGTCTCCGTTTGAGGAGATTCTTCTGGCAATTTATAAAGCGATGTCCCCAACCATGGATACAGCGTGCTTATTGATAGGCTTTTAAGCCTTAAAAGCATGTGGAAACAAGCACTTGTATTTCCATTTCTTTTGTTTCACGGGGGAAAAAAAAAGACAGATAAAATGTCAGTTTATAATGGGTCCATGCACAAACCAAACACCTCACACTTAAAGTCTGCAGCTGGGAAGAGGGTATAGGAGTTAAGTTCCACTCCAGAAATTTCCACTAGACTTAACCTCTCCAGAGCCTTATTTTCTTTGTCTGAATTCCCCCCCATTCCTAGATGCCTGTAGGCTATGGTACTTGTTCCTCATTGTTTTTTAAATAAACCTCACTACAGGTAATTAAAGGGTGGAGAAGAGGAAGTAGTTTAAATAGCCCAGTTCTTACTACATCTATTGGGTGCTAAAGTTTATGAATACATGGAAATGGACGTTATATAAATTACATAGCATTCCTAAGAAATTCAAAATACAACATTTAGAGAAAAAAAAGTCTGAAAAACTGCGAAGTAGCATGGATTTTAAAATTCTTATTACTCTTAAAACTGTACCAAGAAAATGTCTCATTATGTTCCATAATTCCATAATATTGGGGTAATTATGAAACAGGCTGATAGAGAAGGTTTCTGGACCTAAACCCAGGCCTTATTCATTAACGTGTACATTATTTAAGCTCACTAAAATAAGGAAAATACATTCCCAGCTAGAGAAAAGTGTGTTCAATTTAAACATGTGAAGGGATTAAATACTTGGCCTATTTACATCTAGTAAAAGTTCCTTTCTTTTCTTTTTTAACCTTTTTTTTTTTTTTAAGATCACCCAAATGGGAAAGTTGTGAATTTGGGAAAGTGGCTTGTAATGAAGTGTGAGTCATGTCAAATTCATTCCACTGATGTTTCCCTCTTTATCTCTATGGCAAATAAAACATTTGCATTCCTATTATTTTTACAGATTAAGTAAGTTTTGTGTGTTGTTTATGAGTTATAATGCTTTTTGCCTTTTTAATATCAGTTCTTAAGTGTTACAAACCCTTCAGAACACAGCTTCAGGGCAATTCAAAGGACTAAAGGTATGGTTTTTGCATATTAGTAGCTTTTACGTGCTAATAGAAAAAGTGGAAATTGTGTTCTTAAGTACTCTAGCATTTTATTTTTAATTTGCATTTTCTGCTCTTTTATTCATTGCATATTAAGTATTTAAGTCTAACTAGTTTGTTAAAATTTGATATTGTTATACATGATCCATTTAATCTTCCATTTTGAAGGAAGGAAAACATACATGTACAAAGTCATCAATTTTACAAAATAATTAAACAACAGCAGTACAGTTACAATGTCACCATTTTAATACCATTATTCTAAAAATGCTACCTTGTAGAAAGCTAGGTTTGGTTTAAGTTGGAGGTAAGAGCTCCTTATTTTGGAGCCATCTATATACTTAAAATCAAATAATTTATTTTTAATGTGTGGTTTGAGTAGATTTCTAGTGGTTTTGTTTGTTTAAACTTTTTATAACAATCTCTGTACTATGTGGCCAAAAGAAAGCATTCTTCAGAATTCCATATTTCACATACATTATAGATTTCTCATTAACCAATATAAGCACACAAAGAAAACTCCAGTTAAAACTTGGGAAACTATAGGTGTGAAGGTGGATATGTCATAATTAATCAAAGTAAGTTTCAAAATTCATGTTACTCTTTCTCCAAAGAAAAATGAATTATAAAAACAGGCAATCAAGAAACAGCATAGTATAAAAGCTAAGGGTTGTCCTAGGGAGCCAGACAGTTCATGCCTGCACCTAGGCCCCACCATAGTTTCCTTGGACAAATTACTTTAACCTCTCATTTTTCCCTTCAAAGCTCTGAGGCAAAAGGGAGATAACAAAAGTACCTACTTCATAGAAATGTGAGGGTATAATGGTTAATTCAGGTAAACACATAAAGCCTGATATGTAAAAAGTTCTCAGCACCCTCTCAATCTTGTGATTACATAAAATTCATGCAAATCTGGAGCTGTTAGATACAAACAAATTTTGCTACAAAATAAATATTCAACATTTTGGTTTTTTTTTACAGGTATCGTGTGATGGTATCATCATGGCTATATGTGAAGAGCAATGTATGACCCTGGACACCAAATGATCCAAAGGAAAACCAAGACCTTTGGAGTGAGGATACTTCCTAAAGGATGCAAGTCTAATATATATCAGTATACAGGCATTGTTCTCTCTTGTGGACTGGTACTGATTGTTTGGGGCCATTAGGGCCCCAAGCAAGAACTCCTAGGCCCAAAGAAAAATATGGTAAAGTTATACTTGTTTCCCTCAAACAACTTACATTTATTTAACCCTATGAAATGTCCCAAATATTTTCATTATGTTCATTGGACCAATGAATATTTTATTGATTATATGAAGTAATAGTCATTGTTAACCATGTAGGATACAAACCAATAGAACAGATTCTGCCTTCAGATACATACCTTTATAAGATAACTACTAAGTATAATAAACAACAGGCTAAGGACTGGGTTGGTCTTGATGTTAGGAAGGACAGATAATTATCTTCCTTTCTCATACAGATTTACACAGATATTGAAGGATTTGCATAAAGTTGCATGTCTGATACTTAAGTCCTCCTAACCTCAAAAATTCACTTTTTCATTATATCAATCCTGCATGCTTCAGTCAAAAACATAAAAGTACATACCTCCTGAGTAGGTAACAACTATTTTTATCCTTTTACGACCAAGAAAGGGAAAACTCCTTAGCCCTTGGAAATCTCACTGGAGAGCTCTTAGGCCTTGAAAAACCACCCCCTTTAAGAATAGGGTCTCAAGGTTTGACAGATACTAAGCACTCATTAAACACTCCCAATGCCCATTCTTTAACAGCTAATCAAATGTGATACATATCCTGAGGCCCCCAGAAAACTGAATCCTCAACACTGTGAGGCCATTTGTCCTTGGTCCTTGGTACCAGAGAGAAAAGAACCAGATGAGTTTGAAAGTGATGCTGAAAATGGCCAAGAGTCAAGTAGGTAAAAATGTGAAAAGCATTTCAGCAAACAACTAACATTTTGCTTATGGTCAGCCCTATTGTTATCTTCATACTTCACACTACCTAATGTGGCTGAGGGATTGGTCTTGGGGGCACTAAATAACAAAGATATCCCATTCTTACATGTGCATCTTTTGATGCATTGATTTATTCATTGATCCAATAAACCAGCAATGTAAATTCTAAGATAAGTAAATTCTATTTGACTATAATATGGTAGGGAACTTAATTAACAACATCAATAATTTACATGCATTGTTGAGTCTGGAAAAGCTTCATTCAACTAAACCTTATCTGTTGAAGCAAGATTGGAAAGGCAGCAAAAATATAGCTTATACTCTCAGATACATAATGAAATCCTCAGGAAAAAATCCTCTCTGATATTAATTCCAGAAACAAGTCCATATCCTCTGAATAACTGGTTTGTTTCATAAAAGACATAGCATATTGGTTAAATGACCCTCCACAATGGCTGCTAGAAGGCTGAGCCAATTTTATGCCTCACTTGTCCTATTTTTTTTTTTTTTAATCTTTGCATCTGGCTCCCTTCTACACTCTATAATTTTTTCTCTGATTTTTCGTCTCACACTTGTAGTACATCATATATGTTTTGTTGGTATTTATGTAACCTTTATCTCTTCTAAATTTTTTTGACATTAAAATGTTTTCCTACTTGAAATACCTACAAGAGGCCTGCGGGTGAGGAGGTTAGAGAAAGGACCCGAGAACTCAGATATGTGTCCCCGAAATTTCCTACAAAATGTGTTTGTCTCAGATTTTTCATTGGGTTGAACAGCTGATTTGATTCCCATACTTTTAGCCAACTTTACAGAATTCTACATTTTGTAGAATCAAAATTTCGGAGTATATGAAAACTCAGACATGTAGAGAACCTCGAATAAAATCGTGAATAAAGCTCTTTCAAAGCCTAGGACAAGTCTTGATTAAATCTGAAACACACTAGTAAGAAGAATTATAGGTTTCTAAACCTTTTTCAGAAATGTGTCAAAATAGTTATGGTAACGATAAGGCGGTATATGGCATAATTAGACTATTTGTCAAAATATTGTATATATTTGCAGGAAAAGAAACAAAAATCTTGGGCCTGATTAAATATTAAGAGGATTTTAATAAAAAATCAGGACATGACCAGTAGCAGTGAAATTGTGCTCCTTTGGTATCTTTGATAATTAAATTCATTATTGTTGATAATAGAAGTAGTAGGGGAAGACTGGTGAAGATTTCAGTTGATTGAGTAGCTTTAAACACAGCAGACATGTATAATATAGGGAACTGGTGGGGTGCTGATATCTTTTCAGTACAAAAAATGCTCCTTAAAGTACAAAAAAAGGAAGAAAATAGAGAAGGAAAGGCAGTCAGAAGGAAATGATCTCTGTACTTTTTAAAATCTTTGCAGGCACTCCACTAATGAAGTGAGATATGTGTTTGTGAAAAACTTTCACATTCTGCAAAATTGTTGGCTAAAAATAACAAAGTGATGAGAAACATGAGATGGGTGATCCACCAAAACCTATAAAGCTTTGTAACTAAGAGTACTAATACGGTACTATTTATAATAAAAGTAGTAGCAGTTAATTCCTAATAAATTCTAAAGTAAATATAAGTAAGGAGAGCTCAATGGAAGGAAATAAGAAAGAACTTCACAAACAAAACCCGCAAAGATGGGGAAAAGGCTCAATAAATATTTCTAAGATAAAGAGAATATGGTCAGAGCCAGCAGGAAGAACCTAGTGCATGATACATTCCTCTTAGCTCACTGTATTGAACTACACCTTGTGCTTTGTGTTCAGTAGCAGTTACCAGGGGGTGCTAAGTAATAATGATGACACTGATGGCATATAAATCAGCTGACTTCCACTTACACTGGCATTATTTCCCTACATACCAGTTGAATTCAAATTCATTTGATTTACAGAAGCATTCATTGAAGCAGAACACTTCGTCTTTTGTTCAATTTTCAAAAATTAATTTAAAATTCCATTGGGTTTATAGATCTTTCAGTGCAAATTTTGAAGGGAAGTAGAATGGAGAGTCACATGTGGCTATAACTATACTTAAGTATAAATTTATATAATTTATAGTTTTAGTCACAAGGAACATATATAGAAAATTTGAGGAATGAAAATACTGACCTGTGTAGAGTGGAAGGAAAATGGTTGAATACAGTTACTTGAGTTTAGGTGTTAGTTGGATAGATGGGAATGGGGACAATAGCTGTTTTTTCCAAAGTCACTGGACAGCATAAAAACCTCTTGGAGACATAGAAACCTATAGTGAAATAAGCAAATAAATGATTTGGATCCTGATTTGTATATTCTACTCATCACAATTTCCTTAGAGTAAGTTTTTATTTTTTCCCTGAAATTGTGGGCTTATAACAAAAGTAAGTATTGTGATTGATGGCAAACTACTGCTTATTTTTTGTCTTTTTTGTTTGTTTGTTTGTTGTTATTGTTGTTGTACTAGGGATTGAACCCAGGGCCACTCAACCACTACACTATGTCCCCAGAATTTTTTTTTTTTTTTGAGACAGGATCTCATAAGTTGCTGATGTTGGCCTCAAAACACACATTCTCCTGCCTCAGCCTCCCCAGGAGAGATTATAGGCACATACTACTGAGCCTGGCAACTGCTGCTTATTTTGATGTTTGACTTTTTCTTTTCAGCTTAATTCCTAAAAATTCCTAAACCTATTTGAGGATTTGTGTATTTAAGAACTATTTAATCCTCTCGAATTAGGGAACAAAATCTTCCAACACATATTACTTCAAGCTATACATAATTTGGTAACGGGTGGTGTGGAGTGATGTGACTACTAGACTGTTAGATGTTTTTAAATAAATACTTGCAGCTTTGCTCTTTTTAACACTATTGTATATTACTTATTTTATATGTTAAGATAATCATATATTATTGTATTTAAATCATTATAAGAATAAAGTAAGGAATTTTGACCTTATATATGATGATGGAAAAAGATTGAGATCCACAAGTGGTTAACATTTTTATTTTATCCTTTCATTAGTATCAGACTTTTTACCAGGACTTTTTATAAAAGTAGCAAACTGCTTATTTGTCTTTTAATTTTTGTCATAGGGGTTTGAATCCAGGGCCTCAAGCATGCCAGGCAAGCAGGCTACCACTGAGCCACATCCTCAGACCCCACACTGCTTATTTTACTGTGTACTTTTCATTCTACAATATTTATCATTTGGGGGAACTATAAAAATAGGAAACATTTAAATGGTTAGGACTGTACAGTAAGAGAATTTTAAAAAAGAGGATTTGGGAAATCCAAAGATTAAATATGCAGTCCTTGAATAATTGAGAATTTTTTCTAGTCAGAATAATTAGAGGAAAACAAGGAGAGAATGACGGCAATTACAACAAACAGATTTTAATACAAAATGAAATTAGAAACCACCAGGAAATGTGCTGTTTATGATAAATAGTATTAAATACCAGCCAGCTTTGCTTAAAACCTCAAGAGATTTATAGAGCCCAGGCATTATTATAAGATGGAAGCACATATAAATTAATTTTGTAATTTTGGGTCCAAGAAAAATATTATGCCAAAGCTTCAGAATGGTAAATAAGTTCTTATGCAGGTAGGAGGCAGAATAGTTGAGTTACTCTATACAATCAACATAAAACAAGATCAATAAAGGATGTGGTCCTTGCAGCACCCCATGAATAGTGATGTTAAGACACTGAAATGATGTATTATTCAGTGGTAAAATATGTTATATGGTTGTTAATAGGCTATAGTTTTTCATTTTTAATTTGTTATGTCTGATTTATTTTATACCAGATGATAATGCATTCTTAGAAATATATTATGAAAATATCATATGCTGAAACTTTATACCAAATGATATTCCATTGCACCCATTACTACTTAGTATGTGAAATGTTTTTTTATGCAACATGTTATATTACATCAAACCATGCAGTTTCATTTAAATCAATGACATTAACATTGTTTACTTCACATGAGTTATACATAATAAAATAATATCCCATAAAGAATGGCTTTCATCCAAAAGAAGATTCCATATTTGTTACAAACGTTCATCTAAGCAAATACCTCCCTTGTCAGACAGAATAAGCAATCATGATACTCAAGCATCTTTGTTAATTTTTAAATCATATTGAGTAGCTAATATATACTTTAGATACATTATTTTATTTACCAAAATAGTTCTGTGAAGTAGTTCTATTATCAATCCTATCTTATAGATGAGAAAACAAAGGCATGAAGGAGTTTGGCAAATTGTCCCAGGCTACACAGTAAGTAGCAGAGCCTGGGACTCACCCCTGAAAATCTGGACACCTCATCTTTTCTACTGTATGTCCTATATGTGACAGTTGGGCTCTCAGAGTTAAAGTGACATTTATAGGCACTAAAAATAGATTGGAACTTGTCTTAGGTTAGGTACCCCAGGAATGGATTCTTCAGCAAACCAGCTTGCATTCACGTGCTGACACACACATGCACATACTTATACTTTTTTTAGAAGAGTTTGAAATAGACCCAGAAGACATCGATTGGCAAATGTAATGCAATTCTTGAAAAATACAGTGATGTCACCCCAATAAATGTCATGCAATTCCCTAGCTTTTCTTTGCTCATGCTGCCACCCCCTGCTTATCTAGAATGCCCATCTTCTCTCCTTCCCTTCCTATTTCCTATTCAAGAGTCTGCTTAAGTACTACCTCTTGTCTTAAGCTTTCCTCATCTCTCTGTTCAAAGGAGTCCTTTCACAATCTCATACTCTGCTTCATGCACTTTAAGCTTTTGGATCTTGCCTCTATCTACTTTCATTTAGTTTTATTATTCTTTCAGGAAAAGATACATTTCTTATACATCTTAGCATCTCCCATTTTACCTAGCATGTAGTACCTGATGGTTTTTATTCTGTTAACATATACTGTGTTTCTTTGTGTTCCTCAGAAAAGAAGAGAGTATTTTATGACTTCAGTTAGATTTTCTGGCTGAATGAGTCAATTTTCTGTCACTGTAACAAATACCTAAAATAATCAGCTTATAAAGACAAAAGGTTTATTTTGGTTCACAATGGAGGTTTCCATCCATGGTCAATTGTTCCTTTTGCTTTGGATGAGGTGGCACATCATGATGGGAATGTGTGGAACCCAATAAACATCACCCTGGGGAGCAAGTTTTTACCATATGGACTTTTTTTGGAGGCATTTAAAATCCAAACTATAGCACTGGCTTAACTGAATTTGCTAAAGGTATTAGGAGAACATGGTGACCACATATTAATAAATTCTATTACTAAAAGGAAATCAATTATTTTATCCCAATCTGAAGGTAATATATTTTTAATTGAATGATAGCTTTAAGGCTGAGTTCTGCCTGGAAAAATAATAAAATATCTAGCTATAAAACAAAATTGAACTTGTTATTGTTCATCAAAAAAAAAAAAAAAGCCTTAACCAATTTACAGCAAGTTTTATTGGGAAGAACTTCATCCAAAACTTCAATGCATATGCCAAGTTTTGGTATAGTGTGTTAAATTGCTTCAGCATAAGGTCTGTGGTTCATCATATCTAATCTATACATAGGAAATGTGACATTATTATAAAGTGTAATTATTTTCAGAAACTTTAAAATAAAGTGTTTTTAATTAAACATTTGTCTCACAATATATTACCTAAAAGACACTTTATCTCAGAAAAATTAGGCAATATTTTAAGTAGATCTTGACAAAAATGCATTAAATCTATTTTTAAAAATGTTTTATTACTTGCAAGTTTCAGCCTGATGTAATTTTAAAATAGCCAAGTTATAAACCCCTGAAAATTGGAGTTTATAATGGAAATACTGACAGACCCTTAACTTTTAGAAGAACGAAAGTGCTGTTGTAATAACATTTGCTGGTGCTGCCTCAGTCAGTGTAGCAACATGACTAGGGTGCTAGATGTGGTATTTCAAATATAAAATTGGTTGAATGCTTGCTGAAATATTTTACTATCTTTCTAAATTTACAGAAAACTCATTTCTTGTTTTGGAAACTTTTTCTCTCGAGTTATTGCAATGAAAAAGTATGCATGCCCTTTCTTTCTCTTTCTGTAATATTTATCTCAATAGTTTTATTCTCCCCATAATTGCTTTTACCGCCAAGTTTTCCTGACTCAATATAGGGCCCCTCCATCACCTCCTCATTCAAGCTAGAAAAAACAGATCTCAGACTCAACTCTTCACATTACTACTTCCTCCACATTTGAGCCATTGCAAATACTAAGAGTCTTATTGCCAAAATATATTTTGAAATCATTTGTGTCCCTTCATCATAGTGGCTTCACCTTAGTCTGTGCTACCACAACTCTGGCCAAGGCAAACCAACAAATCACTTGGATTATTTACTATCTTTCCAATGGACCCAGGATTTAGACGGTGATCTGTGAGATCTTATGCTTACTGGCCTCATCCTCATTTCCCCTCCCCATAAGCCACATCTACTTTTATGCTCTGCCTCGGATACTGAAGCCACACTGGCCTTCTAGAAGTGCCTAGAATATGCTCCTTAAAGTTTCCACATATGTTCTTTACTAAGAACACTCCAACCATGAATGTGTCTTCCTTTTTCTTTAAGCCTAAATGTCATTTCTGCAGAGACACAGCCTTGTCCACTCAAATGTACACACTCCTCCATGACTATGCCTTATAAAATTACCCCATTTAATTCATATCATTTTATGTGTGCTTTCTTTGCTACAAAAGTTTAAGCTTCCCAGGGAGAAAAACCATGTTTTTCCTCACAATGTACTTCTGTTGTTTAACTGTTGTTCAATGAATATTGGCTGAAGATAAGGATGATTGCATGACACAATGGGTACTAATACCTAATATCTGTTGAGCATTTTCTATGTTCTAGAAACCACTGTATATGACTAGTAGTCCAAATTTTTTCATCTTTACAATAACCTGATGAAATAGATACTATTATTAATACTATTATTAACCTTGGTTTACTGAGGCACAGAGGGTGGGTAATTTGTTAGGAAAAGAAGTTTATTCAGCTCACACTTCTGGAGGTCAAAGAGCATGGTGCCAGAATCTGCTCAGCTCTGTTGAGGGCCTCCTGGTTACCTCACAGCATCAGAGGGCATTGTGGTGTGAGTGTATATAAAAGGGAGAGATCATATGGGGAGAGAGGAAGCAAGAGGCTGAGGAGGGATCAGTCTTTTACAACAACCAGGTCTCATGAAAATTAACCCTTTTGGGGTTTTTTTGTTGTTGTTGTTTTATACCTTTATTCTATTTATTTATTTTTATGTGGTGCTGAGGATTGAACCCAGGGCATCACATATGCTAGGCAAGTGCTCTACTGCTGAGCTATAGCCTCAGCCCCAAATTAACACTTTTTGTCAGCCCAGCATTAATCCCTTCGAAGAGCCATGCTCCTGAGATCTGACTTCATTCCAATAGGCCCAACCTCCCAATGGTAACACTGCCTCAATACTGCCACACTGGCACCCAAGCTCTCAGCACGTAAAACTTGGAATATATACTTAAACCATATCCCGTTGATAGCACCAATATCTAGTTATTTTTTTCTTTAAATATTTATTTAGTACCTGCTAGTTCTAGGACAAACAAGATATGATAAATAAATTATATTAACCCCTTTGCCTCTGTGGAGCTTATATTCTTATAGGTAAATTACACACCAAGGTAGGTAGAAAGAATGGACAAAAATTAGATAAAAAGAAAGGAATGGAAAATAGAGAAAAGAGGATAAATACATCTTATAATAAGTGCATTGAGTGGAAGTACAGAGATGAGAAATCTTATAATTAGAAGAGGCAATTTTAGATCTGGTGGTCTGAGAAGTCCTCTTGCCAGAGGCAACATTTGAGCTGAAATTGTGAAAAAAAAAATCCAAATATTCAAGGATCTACTGGAAGAGCATTTCATGCAAATGGAACATCAAGAGCAAGACACAAACTGGCATTTTCCGGGAACTAACTAAAGGCTGACAAAGAGAATAGTGGAAGGCAACAGGCTTGGAAAAATGAACAAATTATACAAAGCTTGCAAGCAATGGATGGCATTTGTATTTCATTTTAGAGCAAAAGGAAACCATGAAAAAATTTCAATGTAGTAGTGCAATAATATGATTTACATTTTTCCCCTAAAGAGCAACCTATACTTAATGTGAATAATGGATTAGAAATGGGTAACAATAGAAGAAAGGAGACCAACTAAGAAGCTGGGGTGTGGATAATAGTTAAACTCATAGAAGGAAAGACCTGAATAATGGTTACTAGGCAGAGGGGAGGTGGAGTTGGGGAGTGTTGATCAAAGGGTACATAGCTTCATTTTTGCAAGATGAATAAACCCCAGAGATTTACTATAAAACATAGTGTATGTAGTTAACATTAATTGTGTACTTAATATTTTGTTAAGAGGTCATATCATATTCTTGTCAAAAAAGGAGGGAAGAAATTTCAAGAGGCAATTATTAAGCTTAAGGCATTATGTGTAGTGATATGTTCAAAGGTCTATCTCATCTTCAAATGCATTAAGATGTATACATTATATATGTAAAGCTATTTTGTAAGTCAATCATATCTCAGTTTTAAGAAGAAATCATCAAACAGATTGAAACAAACCAAATAACATAAAATCCATGAAGCTTATTATAAAAAATTTGAAACATACACACAGACTGATCATTATTGAAAGTTGCTAGGGCACAGCCTCATTTTTCTTAAATTGATAAAGGAGAGAAAATAGCATTTCTTTTGCCTTTTCTTTAAAAGATGCATTTCAAGGTAACCAATCATTGGTGAGGGAAATTCTTATTTATAGAATTCTAGCAAATAAACTGTAGGAGACAATTAGAATATCACCATACAATCCATGATGGGTCTATACAATGATCATCAGTAGCTGTTAAAACAGAAAAAGAGAGGTTAGTGGAAGATTTCATAATGAAGGAATCATGCTGGTATACGAAGAACCTGTCAATTGAACTAAGTGAACAGTGGGAAAATACAGTTGCAACAGAAAGTATACATAACATAGCCCACATGTTGAATTCAAGTCTGATTAATCCTCTAAATTATGGGAAGTAGAGGTAATGGAATAATAACTTAAACAACACCAAGAGAAGCAATCAACCACATCCACAATGTGAGACTTTCACAGAAAAACAATGACTCAATTTCTCCAACAAATCAACAGCATACAAAAGTTGATAGTGATGAGAGGGGATTGTTTTAGAATAAAATAATCTTTAGAAATATAACAATGGAATATAATATGAGGACCTACTTGGGTGAGATTCAAATAAAACTCATATTTAAGGCAATCAAGGAAATCTAAATACAGAGAATATAGAAATACTAAATTATTAATTATCAGCTATAAATATGATGATTGGGTTAGTGACACATTATATGGGTTTTTTAAACTACTCAGGAGAGAAAAGGGGTATAGGAGAAGAAAAAAGATCAAGATAATACTGATAACTATGAGAGCTGCATTATGAATGTGTGGGGTCCATTGTGTATTCTTTTCTATATCTTGTATATAATTAAATTATCCGTTAGGAAATTATTTTCAAAAGGCTATTTAAGCTGGGTGCTGTGGCATATACCTTAATCTCATCAGCTGGGGAGGCTGAGGCAGGAAGATTACAAATTCAAAACCCAGCCTCAGCAATTTAGTGAGGCCCTAAGTAACTCAGCATGAACCTGTCTCTAAATAAAATATTTTAAAAAGAGCTGGCGATATGACTCAGTGATTAAGTTCCCCTTGGTTTGCTCCCCAGTACCACTTTCCCCACAAAAAAAAAAAAAGGTTATTTAAGTCCTCTAGGAAAGAAAGATTAATGATTTAGACAAAGGTGGAAAGGAAGAGAAATATAAGAATTTTGGTTATATTTAAAATTTGTAGGAATTGTTAAAGAGTTGGAGGAGATAGTGAAAGAAACAAAAAGGAGATTGCTTGGTTTCTTATTTGAGCAACTGATTAGGTAAGGAGGCATTTTCTGAATTAGTTTAGACTTCAGAGAAAAGGTTGGAGAATGGATTAAATATCTAGTTTCAGGCATTAAGGCTTGCATTTATTTTCTATAGTTACAGGAAAAATTGCCATATATTTAATAGCTGAAAACAACAGAAATGCATCATCCTTCAGTTCTGAAGGTTAGAAGTACAGTCTGTCTCACTAGGTAAGGTCAAAGTGTCAGCTGGACTGCTCCTTCTGAGGCTTTAAGGGGGAATGCGGAGGCTGTCCTCTTTCCTCCACTGGTATCTTTAAGGCACATCCTCTTTTCTCTCTACTTCCATGGTCATGTCACTTTCTCTGATTTTGACTGTCTTGCCTTCCTTTTAAAAGAATTTTTGTGATTACATTGGGCCTTCCTGGTTAATCCAGGTTAATCTCTCCCATCTCAAGATCCTTAACTTAATCTCACCTGCACTGTCTCTTCTGTCATGTTAGGTAACACATTCACAAATTCTGAGGATTAGGACATAGACATCTTTTGGGGGAGGCATTACTTGCTCTGTCTCGAGGCCCAATGTTGGAAACATGTATTTGATGTCCTCAAGAAGATCAAGTGGATAGTTGAATGGTGAGGCTAGATGTCAGAGGAAAGAACCGGGAAGCTACCTCTA